TATTTTTTTGAGACAGTCTCACTCTGTTGCCAGGCTGGAGTGCAGTGGCACAATCTTGGCTCTCTACAACCTCGGACTCTCTGGTTCAAGTGATTCTCCTGCCTTAGCCTTCTGAGTAGCTGGGATTACAGGCACACACTACCACACCCAGCTAATTTTTGTATTTTCAGTAGAGACAAGGTTTCTCCATGTTGGCCAGGATGGTCTCGAACTGCTGACATTGTAATTTGCCCTCCTTGGCCTCCCAAAGTGCTGGGATTATAGACATGAACCACTGCGCCCAGCCAATCTTTTAATTTTTTTAGTAGAGACAGGGTTTCTCCATGTTGGTCAGGCTGGTCTTGAACTCCCGACCTCAGATGATCCACCTGCCTCGGCCTCCCAAAGCGCTGGGATTACAAGTGTGAGCCACTGTACCCGACCATTTTGTTTTGTTTTTTTTTGCCCTGCCTCCCCCTCATTTTTTTTTTTTTTTTTTGAGACAGAGTCTCTATTGCCCAGGCTGGAGTGCAGAATGGTGCAATCATAGCTCACCTCAGCCTCGACCTCCCAGGCTCAGGTGATTCTCCCACCACAGCCTCCTGAGTATCTGGGACTACAGGTGTGCGTTATCATGCCCGGCTAATCTTTATTTTATTTATTTATTTATTTATTTTTAGAGATGGGGTTTTGCCGTGTTGCCCAGGCTGGCCTCAAACTCCTGGACTCAAGAGGTCTTGGCCTCCTAAAGTACTGGGATTACAAACATGAGCCACTGCACTTGACCATGGTTATTTTTTAAGTGTTTAGAGAACTTACATGGCAAAGAAGGTAGAAATATCTGATCCTAGAAGGAAGAATCAGGTAAATCCAGCGGCTAAAAGTTATAAGGAAGGGCCGGGTGCGATGGCTCATGCCTGTGATCCCAACACTTTTGGGAGACTAAAGAGCACGGATCACATCAGGTCAGGAGTTCAAGACCAGCCTGGCCAACATGGTGAAACCTCGTCTCTACTAAAAGTACAAAAATTAGTGGGGTGTGGTGGTACATGCCTGTAGTCCCAGCTACTTGGGAGGCAGAGGCTGAAATGGTACCACTGTACTCCAACCTGGGTGACAGAGGGAGACTCTATCTCAAAGGAAAAAAAAAGTTGCAAGGAAGATTTTACCTCAACATTTTACTATAACTGGGCCAGGCGCGGTGGCTCATGGCTGCAATCCCAGCACTTTGGGAGGCCAGGTGGGTCACCTGAGGTCAGTAGTTTAAGGCCATCCTGGCCAACATGGCAAAACCCCACCTCTACTAAAAATACAAAAATTAGCTGGGCATGGTGGCACATGCTTGTAATCCTAGCTACTCTGGAGGCTGAGGCAAGAGAATTGCTTAAACCCTGGAGGTGGACGTTGTAGTGAGCCGAGTTTGTGCCACTGCACTCCAGCCTGGGCGACACAGTGGGATTCCATCCCCCCAACAACAAAAATTTTTTTATTATAACTGTGGAACAAACAGTGGTGCCTCAGGAGTCTTGAGTCCTTGGAGCTGCATAAGCAGAGAGCATTCAGTGATGTTGCTAGGATGCTGGCTGGGGATCTACACAGTGGTTGGGTGTGTGGCGGGGTGATTGACAGAGTGGAGGGAGCAGACTAAGACCCTGAGGTAGTCTAGGCCCATGGCTGCTGGCTCCCAGCTTGCACCGTCCTGGGATTGTGGCTGCCCTTTCACTTCCAATCATTTCTTTTGCAGGAAAACAAGAGCAGAGGCCAATTCTCCTCTTCATGAGAACCCTGAATCCCTAAATGAGGCAGAGGCCTTGAACCCAGAAGTTACTCTATCTTCAGAGGGGACCTTAAACCTAGAAGACATTCTCTACCTGGAGGACACAGGTGACATTGATGAGACACTCTATGTGCAAGAGACTGAGAAGCCAGACGAGGCCCTATATATTGAGGAGGCCATGCAGCCAGATGAGGCTCTGTATGTGGAGGAGCCTGGGAATCCAGAGACAGTGTGTGTGGAGGAAACCATGGAGCCAGATGGGATACAGTTTGTGGAGGGACCCGTGGAGACAGGAAGGCCCACAAGCCCAGAGCAGGTTGTTTGTGAGGGAGAGACGGTCACAAGGGCGGAGAAATCTAACCCTGAGGAGAGCCTGGGAGCCGAGCTGAGCACCAGTATGGAGGAGGAGAGCCTGAGCATAGAGGACCTGGAATTGCTAGAGGGGCGTTTCCAGCAGTGTGTCCAAGCTGTGGCCCAGCTGGAAGAGGAGAGGGATCAGCTCATCCATGAGCTTGTGTTGCTCCGGGAGCCAGCCCTGCAGGAAGTGCAGCAAGTCCATCAGGACATCCTGGCTGCCTACAAGCTCCACGCCCACGCAGAGCTGGAGAGAGATGGGCTAAGGGAGGAGATCCGGCTGGTCAAGCAGAAACTGTTCAAGGTGACGAAGGAATGTGTGGCCTACCAATACCAGCTGGAGTGCCGCCAGCAGGACGTGGCTCAGTTTGCCGATTTCCGGGAAGCGCTGACTGCAAGGGTGGCCCAGCTCTCAGAGGAACTGGCACAGCTCCGGGATGCCTATCAGAAGCAGAAGGAGCAGTTGCGGCAACAACTAGAGGCCCCTCCAAGCCAGAGAGAGGGGCACTTTCTCCAGGAGAGCCGGCGACTCTCTGCCCAGTTTGAAAATCTCATGGCAGAGGGCCGCCAGGGCCTGGAGGAGGAGTACGAGCCTCAGCTCCTGCAGCTCCTAGAGAGGAAAGAAGCTGGGACCAAAGCTCTGCAGAAAACCCAGGCTGAGATCCAGGAGATGAAGGAGGCTCTGAGACCCCTACAAGCAGAGGCCTGGCAGCTCCGACTGCAAAACAGGAACCTGGAGGACCAGATTGCACTTGTGAGGCAAAAACGAGATGAAGAGGTGCAGCAGTACAGGGTAGGCCCATTGGGCATGAAAGGAACTGAGGTCTTTTAACTTGGAGAAAGGGTGGCCAGAGTCCAAGGTCTTTGGGGCTGAAGGATACCGTCACATGTAGGAGTTAAAATTTGTTCTTCGGCGCCATCCTTTTTTTTTTTTTATTTTTTACTTTTATTGAGACAGGGTTCCACCATGTTGGCCAGGTTGGTTTCGATCTCCTGATCTTGTGATCCGCCTGCCTTGGCCTCCCAAAGTGCTAGGATTACAGGCATGAGCCACCGCGCCTGGCCAAGGGGCCATTTTTTTTTTTTTTTTTTTGAGACGGAGTCTTGCTCTGTTGCCCAGGCTGGAGTGCAATGGTGCGTTCTCAGCTCACCGCAACCTTTGCCTCCTGGGTTCAAGCAATTCTCCTGCCTCAGCCTCCCAAGTAGCTGGGATTACAGGTGTGCGCCACCACGCCTGGCTAATTTTTGTATTTTTCAGTAGAGACTGGGTTTTACCATGTTGGTGAGGCTGGTCTTGAACCCCTGACCTCGTGATCCACCCGCCTCAGCCTCCCAAAATGCTAGGATTACAGGCGTGAGCCACGGCACCCAGCCAAGGGGCCATTCTTTTTTTGAGACAAAGTCTTGCTGTGTTGCCCAGGATGAAGTGCAATGGTGAGTTCTTGGCTCACCACAACCTCCACCTCCTGGGTTCAAGCAATTCTCCTGCCTAAGCCTCCCAAGTAGCTGGGATTACAGGTGTGTGCCACCACACCCGGCTAATTTTTGTATTTTTTTTTTTTTAAGAGATGAGGTTTCACCATGTTGGCCAGGCTGGTTTTAAACTACTGACCTCAGGTGATCCGCCCTCCTCAGCCTCCCAAAGTGCTGGGATTGCAGGCGTGAGCCACTGCGCTCAGCCTAATTTTTGTATTTTTAAGTAGAGACCGGGTTTCACCATGTTGATCAGGCTGGTCTTGAACCCCTGACCTCGTGATCTGCCTGCCTCGGCCTCTCAAAGTGCTAGGATTACAGGTGTGAGCCACCACACCTGGCTGGGGCCACTCAATTCTTTTCTCCATTCTTCATTCATTCAGACCCATGCTAGGGACAAAAAGTTATGTGAGCTGTTTTTTTTTTCAACAGGGTCTTGCTGTCACTTATGCTGGTGCAGTGACATAAACACAGCTCACTGCAGCCTTGACCTCCCAGGTTCAAGCAATCCTCCTACCTCAGCCTCTTGAGTAGGTGGGACCACAATCATGTACCACCATGCCCAGCTAATTTTTTTTTTTTGAGACAGGTGCAATCTTGGGGGCTCACTGCAGCCTCAAACTCCTGGGCTCAAGAGATCCTCCTATCTCAGTCCCCCAAGCAGCTGGGACTACCAGTGTGTGACACCACGCCTGGCTAATTTTTTGTAGAGAAAGGGTTTCACCATGTGGCCCAGGCTGGGCTTGAACTCCTGAGCTCAAGCTATCCACCCCCCTTGGCCTCCTGAAGAGCTAGGATTTATAGGTGTGTGCCACCGCAGTTGGCCAATTTTTGTATTTTTTGTAGACAGGGTTTTGCCATGTTGCCCAGGCTGGTCTTGAAATCCTGGACTCAAGTACTTTTTTTTTTTTTTTTTTTTTTGAGACGGAGTTTCGCTCTTGTTACCCAGGCTGGAGTGCAATGGCGCGATCTCAGCTCACCGCAACCTCCGCCTCCTGGGTTCAGGCAATTCTCCTGCCTCAGCCTCCTGAGTAGCTGGGATTACAGGCACGTGCCACCATGCCCAGATAATTTTTTTGAAGTTTTTAGTAGAGACGGGGTTTCACCATGTTGACCAGGATGGTCTCGATCTCTTGACCTCGTGATCCACCCGCCTCGGCCTCCCAAAGTGCTGGGATTACAGGCTTGAGCCACCGCGCCCGGCCCTCAAGTACTTTTAATGGCAAAAGCTGCAGTTAATTTTGTAGCAACTTTAATAGAGCAGCCTCATCTTCATTTTCCTTTTATGTGCATTTGTCCCCACCTCTCTTGCATTCAAGTTATTTCTGATTAAGTGTGAGCCAGTTCTAATCCCTTTTTAGAACAGAGTGGGATATAAATACTAAGTGAATAAACAATTACGTAGTCCCTCCCAGACTGTGAGCTTTCAGAAGGTAGGGAATACATTTTACTTATCGTTGTATTCTTCTCTGCAACTCGTGGCTCAGAGCACATGTCAGTCAAGTGCTGCTGGGCACTAATGAGAAGACTATAGTGTGGTGCTCTAAGCAATATTTTAATCTTTTGAAACACTCATTCCATTGGATAAACTGAAAAATCTATGTCCCAGAGATTTTGATATGCCCTTAAGGGAACAAGTTTCCTTGTTGAAATGGCTGCATTGACTTCACTGAATATTTTGTCAAGCTTTCTGTAGTCTGTATTATGAAAACCTGTGGGCCAGGTGTGGTGGCTCATGCCTGTAATCCCAACACTTTGGGAGGCCAAGGTGGCCAGATCATGAGGTCAGGAGCTTGAGACCATCCTGGACATGGTGAAACCCCATCTCTACTAAAAATACAAAAAACTAGCTGGGCATGGAGCGAGTTCCTGTAGTCCCAGCTACTTAGGAGGCTGAGGCAGGAAAATTGCTTGAACCTGGGAGGCAGAGGTTGCAGTGAGCCGAGATCATGCACCTGCACTCCAGCCTGGTGACAGGGCAAGACTCCTGTCTCAAAAACAAACAAAAACTAGGCCAGGCATGGTGGCTCACACTTGTAATCCCAGCACTTTGAGAGGCTGAGGAGGGCGGGTCATGAGGTCAGGAGTTCCAAGACTGGCCCGGCCAACACAGTGAAACCCCGAGGGGGCTGCAGTTAGCTGTGATTGCACCACTGCACTCCAGCCCAGGCAACAGAGAGACCCTGTCTCAAAAAAAAAAAAAAAAAAAAAAAAAAGAAAAGATTGTGTGTGTGTGTGTGTGTGTTGGGTGAGAGGATGAATACTACCCTCAAAGAGTTTGTACTCCAGAAGTGAGGAAACAGACAAAATGAATTTATTTCATAAAATCTAAGCACTGTTGATTTTAACATGCATCCTGATCTGAGATGTTAAAATGTCAGTCTTGGAATCAATGAAACATTTCAATGTGGTAAGCACTGTAACAGCTGTAGTGATGAGGCAGTGTCCTGATGAAAACAGGCATGACTACCCAAACCTGGGCAAACGAGGAGACATTTCATACATCAACAATAGCTAGAATGTATTTCAAGTTTTTTACACAAAATAATTCCTTTAGGGCCAGGTGTGGTGGCTCATGCTTATAATCCCAGCACTTTGGGAGGCTGAGACAGGCAGAAAACCTGAGGTTGGGAGTTTGAGACCAGCCTGACCAACATGGTGAAACTAAAAATACAAAACTTAGCTGGGCATAGTGGCACCTGTGATCCCAGCTACTCAGGAGGCTGAGGCAGGAGAATCGCTTGAACCTGGGAGGCAGAGGTTGCAGTGAGCCAAAGTTGTGCCACTATACTCCAGCCTGGGCAATAGAGTGAGACTCCATCTCAAAAAATAATAATTCCTTTAGTCCTTACATCTCTATGAGTTAGTGACAAGGCGTTTGAAAAATGAGAAAAAGAGGTAAGGCAGAGCAGTGATTTGCCCAGGGTTAGGCAGCTTGAGAGTGATGGAGCGAGGATGTAACTCCTAAGCAATCTAGCTTACGCCCATACTCAGGCTCTACAGGATGCTGGAGCTAGCCTTAAGAATGAATTCATGCCAGGCGCAGCTCACTCCTGTAATCCCAGCATTTTGGGAGGCTGAGGCAGGGGTATCACCTGAGGTCAGGAGTTCCAGACCAGCCTGACCTATGTGGTGAAACCCCATCTCCACTAAAAATAAAAAAAATTAGGCTGCTTGTAGTCCCAGCTACTCGGAAGGCTGATACAGAACTGCCTGAACCCAAGAGGCAGAGGTTGCAATGAGCCGAGATGGCACCACTGTACTCTAGCCTGGGCAACAGAGCAAGACTCCATCTCAAAAAAAAAAAAAAAAAAAATTCACTGGGCAGGTAAGGGAGAGGTCTTTCAGGCAGAGGGAATAGCTCATACAAAAGCATGGAAACACAAAAAGATGTTTTGAGAAGTGAGCTTACTGTGGCAAAATAAGGAATGTAAGAACTAGATCCAGCTGGGACTAAACAGTTTTTTTTTTTTTTCTTTTTCTTTTTCTTTTTTTTCTCTTTTTCTCTTTTTTTTTTTTTTTTTGAG